TAGGAACAAATTCACAGCGAGTTTCATTAAAATGCATCCATGCGACATTTCAACATCATTGAATCATCTTTTGAAGAACTTTAACATTCAATAGCGGAGGATCCGGACATTTTTTCTGCATAAAACTTGAATCAGATTGTCCTCCTTTGGGCCACAGTGTCGCAATTGATCATCTGCTTTCGGGACTCCCTGTATATAGAGTTATTGTGCAGGTAAATGGAATAGAGAGATTTCGAAATCAAATACAGCCATCAAGTGTTTTTTTACGAGGTTCAAATGAACAATCAGCAAAATCTTTTAGAGGATTTGGCTGTTTTAGATCGTTGCACAAATGTGGAAAATTTATCGCTGAACCATTAGGGATTTTATATGGGGCTATAAATTCGTAGAAAAGACGCCGAATTCGGTGCAACAATAGTTTCCCATTGGGCCAGTTTTGAGCCAAACAAAGTGAAACTATCAATAACGACGGGCGCAAGATCAATTAAGGAATAGAGCACGCTCTAAGTCTCAGACCTCCACTTGGCCCCCCTTTTGGGAAGTACTAAAAAGTACGAATAAAGAAATCTGTGGAAGACGCTTGACTATTAATAAACCAGACTTTGTTTTAACAGGAAATATAAATATAGAATCACGCTTCTGATAATTGGATTATCGGACAGTTTAATACGTAATTCGAGCAGTTATCATTGTTGAGCTCGTTTTCACACAGTCGACGCTAACAAGACGTTGTTAAAGTCCATTGAAAACTGGATAAACCATCTGCATGCAAACTTTCACTTAAAACGATTGTTCAACTGGTCGCCAGAGGACCGGGATTTTAATTTTGCAAAATGAGCGGCCAGATGCGAGTTTTTGTGGTTTTTGTGGTAGTTTTTGCGGTTTTCTGCCAGCCAATCGTCAGTTCGCCCTGCGGCATCTGTGGAATCGATGTGATTTGCAAAAGTAAATATCCGACTTGTACCGCAAATCAGGCGATCACTTTGGATCAGTGCGGATGCTGCTTGGTTTGCAAAAATATTCTGGGTGAGTTTTCAGTCTGCTGACTGTTTTCAGTTCTTTCCATCAATTCGTCGGTTTGTTTGTAGAAAAAGGCGAAGAATGTTTCACGGACATCGATATCTACGCAATTTGCAAATTGGGATTGGAGTGCATCAACAACAAATGTACGGAGCCGCAAAATGGGCCCAGTGGATGAACGCCCACCCAGTCGGGATATTTTAATTTCATTTAATGATGTATTTTTTATCAGTTGGTTTGCCACTTTCCACGCTGATTGGTGTGTCTAATTACATTTTCTGTGTGTTTGACATGATTTTGTGCGTTTATTTTTACCTTGAGACGCTTTCGTATTTTGCCCCGCGCTTTCCCAGTATTTACAGGATTTGTTCGGGTCCAAAACGTGTCTCGGGACACTTTCCGGACAGCGTTTCGAGCCCATTAACTCTCACCAGCTGAGCTGGAAGCGCCTGAGATAAGTACGAGTCGAAATACAGTAAAGTCCGCTTATAATGAACCCGGTTATAGTGAACTTTCGGTTAAAACGAACTTTTTTCCTTTAATTGAAACGTCGTCCATAAAGACCAACGTATTTTTTTACTGGTTATAACGAACCCGTTTATAACGAACTTCCACGCTCAGCAAAACGAATAGTGCGGAGTTGTTTATATTAGTGAGAGCGAGAGACAGCCAATGACTAGTTGTTTTTTGCCGCGTTATGTATGTAAATCGTTTTAGAATGGAAAAACAAAAACAGAAAAACAGAAAAAGAATTAAGTTTTATCTGCGTTTAAACCTGTGGCGTCCCCAAAGGGCTCAACACAACAAATCCATTAGAAACTCGTGAGTTTTTCGTTTTTAATCGTCTAACCTATTTAATCCTGAACATGTAATTTTGAATCGTTTGCTGATAATTTTTTTTAAATGTCTACTCAATACATCTAGTTTTGTGCAGTTCTGCTCGTCTTTTGGAAGTTTGCCAACTTTCAAAATTTTGATTTGAAGTTCTGCACTTCAGAGAAAAACCCGCGGAAGATTTCCGATTTTTTTTCCTCAACGCGTCGTAATTTATTCCCGTTTTGTCTTACTTTGGATGTTGTGAATTGGTTTTTTCAACTCAAGTACGCGCATTTTTGCAGACTTAAATATTTTTCTCAGAAACGATTTCTCTTTATTGACGCAACACAGGAAAAGCCTTAAATACAATGTCATAAAAACAATCCAGCAATATTCGCATGCATCAATCTCGAAAAACGTTTATGGCAGCCATTTCTGAGTTGTTTCTGAGCTTGCAGTACAAATGTTGTTGAGGCAAGTCGCTGGCCACTCGCAAGGAACAGGCGGTTTTGCATTTTTTGGCACGCAAAAATGCATGCCAAGGCTTAAAGCAGCAACAACGCTACACATAAAAACTGATGATGGTGGAAAAACACACCGAAACGTATTTTGATTGATAAATAGAGACAATAAATGACTGAAACCCAGGAATGAATTTGATTTGGAATTCAAACAACACAACAATTTAATTATTTCAAAAAATTCACATCTTTAATTTAACATTTAAATCAGTAAAACGAGCATGAACTTCTGAAATTTTGTGGATTTGAACAGATGTGGTCGCAAAAAGTCATTCTATCGTACATTTCATTGCAAAAAACTTAAAAACACACCTCAAAAGGGAGATTTTGGGAGCGAATTCTTGCCAACAACTTGCTCTACAAACGTTCCCCATGAAAAAACCGATTTTTCCCCGTGGAATACGGCAATATGCCATTGGAAAAAACACTCGGTATTTATGATATTGTGTGATAAAATACTCTTAGAGCTCGAAAAAGCTCAGTGACTTTTTGTTTTCGCTACATCTAAACGTACAGGATGATTCAAAATTGGTAACTCATTTTCTGGGTTTTCGCATTTGATTAATTTGAAAAATAATTGAAAAAAAAAGTATGGTTCTTCCCAGTGCTCGGTAAAAAGGGACTTTTTCAACTCAAATAGAATGATGATTAATCAACTAAAATCTAGGCAACACTTAATTTAATTATCAAAAAGCTCTCAACTATTGACGAGGAGCAATAATGAAGAGACAAAAAATCAATTTTGCTTCTATATAATTATTCTTCATAATTATTTATATATACAGAGTGAACCAATAGTTACGGGTTAATCTATTGCTGTCCTCTAAACCGCAAGAGTTACAAGTTCGGGTTTAAACAGKCAAAAATTGTCCAAGTTATGTTCAGTTTTAAAAAAAAACAAATATTTAAAAAAAAAGTTTGCAAATAAATCGAAAACAACGGGTTGTTGAGGAAGATTTTTTTACAAAATTCGATTAGTTTTTCCAGCTGCAAGCATTGATTTTTAATGTAACAAAATAGCACTTTTAGCTTATGCGATATTCACACTAATTCCAATTTTTTAAATATGGATCTGGTTTTTTCGTGTTCTTCTAATTGCACTTTTTCTTATGAGTGAACCGCCACATGTTCACATTTGCCGACGTTTTAGTCGAAACTTGCAGGACGACTCTTAACGTAACGGATGAGACACAGAAAATCTGCTGTATAAAAGGTAGATTTAAAAATGAAATTCGATTTTAACACGTTTTTGTGTCTAAACTGGTCGTTTGCATAAATGCGCCGTCAGTTTGATTAGCGATGTTTTGATAAACAAACAGTAACACATTTAACAAGCAAGCAACAGTGGCAGTGAAACCCATTATAGACATGGTTTCAAAAGGTGCAAACGCGATGATTTTCACGCTACTGCTGTGTCTTCAAGTGGCCACCATCCAGGGTTTTGCTTGTCCATCGAACTTCTGTGATGAACATCCTTGTGTAAGCCAGACTTCTTGTCCGGAAAATCACACGCTTTCCCAGACGTTTTGTGGCTGTTGCATGCGGTGTATTCCAGTGATTTGTGCGTACTGCATAAACTGGTTTGTGAGGGTTTTTTTTTTATTTTTTTGCAATTTTAGCTGAAGGTGAACTTTGCTTTGACCAGCTTCGTGGCGTTCCAGCTGGAGCCGTTTGTGCAGATGGGCTGATTTGTTGCGACAGCATCTGCTCAACTCCAGCCAATTGCACAAGCCAGTTTCACCGAGTTGAATATTAAATTGAAATTGTTACGTTTTTGTGCTTTTGCTTTCTCCATTTTTGTGCAATGAACCATCAAAGTTTTAAGTGAGGAGTCAAGGGTTGAAAAATGTGTAGGGAATTATAAAATTATATTTTTTTTCCAAACAAAACCGCCCATTTTTCCATTTATAAATGCTGCATCAAAGCACGATGGTGAATCTGAAAGTGTTAAAAACGTTGTTCCAGGCGCTCGATTTTTAACGAAAATTTCATTCGAATCGTCCAAAATCCTGATTTTTACCGACTATTTTTTGTGTTTTTAGACGTCGGTTCCTCTCGGTCCCAATCCAACCGCTCATAACGTTAGTGATCAGACGCCTGCTCAACGCAGATTTGTATGTTCAAATTTATTTATTGTTGATTATTTCAAAGTAACATTTTCGCAATTTGCCGCCAATGACATCGGAAAAATTACAATTTATAACATTTTTATGAGCAATTTTCCGGTTTTGAGCAAACATTGTTGCAGCATTCGAGGCCAGTGGAACAAGCCCAGGAAGGCGGAACGCCTCGCAGTCTGACCGGGCATCTTTCTCCCTCAACTGAAAATCATCGGAAAACAAATCAGCAATTTTTTTGGTTTAATTAGGGGCAAAATACTTACAAATCTCGGTCACACATCGCTGACAACAGCCGCAAAAGCTGTCCGCTAATGTATGATTTATTGGACAACTTAGTGGAGTTGTGCAGGGGTGATTTTGGCAAAAATTCGGCGGGCACACAATTGCTTGGTTGATTTGGCCCTGCATGAGCACCAAAAGTGCCACGAGAATAATCGCGTTTACCATTTGAAAGGCCATTGTTGGACGAGTGTAGTTATTTTAGCGAACTCGTCGCTTTATATAGTTAGTAGGACAATGCAAATATTGATAATATTCCCTAATGAGGCTTATGTATGCAGGAGTACGATAAATATTTAAATGCCCCAGACGCGGTCGGGCACCGAAAAAAATGTTTTTGATAAATATCATGCTCATTTTTTTACAAACTTCTTCTTGGGTATTTCGCCTCAAAAATGTTTCAACAATATAGAACTTATCTAACATGCTCATGATAATAACCCATTGTGAGTAAGTGGGTCTAGAAACAAAATTGATTGTCCATTAGAAGGACAACGGCTTGGAATAGATAGCGTTTTAAACGAACGAGTTTGAAACGAAACGTTGCGAAAAATTGTAATTCAACTCCAAATCGAGAAAAACTATCAAAAGTTTCGGATGTAAATGCGTAATTTTCTAGCGAATGTTTCTGGTGCTGCAACATTTTCAGCACTTCGGTGTTGAGGAAGCAGCAGAAACGAGAATTAATGCACATTTACACCCTAAACGTATGTTGCAGTTGTTTTTTTTCGATTGGAACGATTCGAAATAATCGTTTCTAGTTATACAAACATTATTAAAATCCTGTATTTTAAAAATGTTTGAAGGAAAATGTGGAAATTTCTTCATTTTCATTTGCTTCAGTTATTGAAAATCCAGCTATTTATCGTTATCAGGAACTGATTAGGTACAATAAGTATTTTTGTATGGTTTGTTCAAGAGTTTATCGGTTTTGTGAAATCAGAGTCCCCCAAAACTGACTTGCACTGTTTGAATGCACGAAAGCTCGATAGTTTTTGCCAAAACTGTTGGCTGGTTAAAGATGGGAAGCGCTTGCCGTGCAATTTTTCTGTCGATAAAATAAAATCTCCCTTAGTTCAAGAGCAGTTTATTCATTACAAGATCGGGGAATTTCGCGCCTCTTCTATGCACTTGAGGCACTAAAAGGCGGCATTTCTCGTTTTCCTGGCGCGTTGATGCATGTACAGGGTGGACCAATAACAACACACTATTGGTTTCAGGGTTTCATGGTGGCATTGTTCTACTGTTTCCTCAACACCGAGGTCCAGAACACGTTGAAGCATCACTTCGAAAACTGGAAAACCAAGAAGTCGTTGGGCCCGAGCCGATTGCGATCCAGCAGCCGGAGCAAAGACTGGTCGCCCCGATCCAGAACTGAGAGTTTAAGGTATGTATCCATACAAACGATTTTCGACGCAATCCGCTCTTGAACAAGAGCTGAGCTTTGAATGCGAAACCGTAGGGATCATCAGTTTGGTTCATTGCATTAGTGCTGATTCCCTCAATAATTCTTTCATTATTAAACGCTGATGAGGCAAAGCATTTTTTTTGGTCCGCCGTGTATACATTGTGTCCAGGATCGGCGGGGCCCAATATAATTATCTGTAAATCTAGAAATCCGCTCGTTGATAAATTCCGAGCCCCGTGATTTTGGACACTCTGTATTCTAATTTGTGCATGTTGTTGCATGTTTGATGTGCCTCGCGCACGCAGAATCACCGAATGGACGCTGATCGGCGCCGAAGACATCGAAGACTCAGAAAAGCGTCTCTCCCACCCTGGTGTGAACCACCACTTGAAAGCCAATCAGCGGCGAGAGTCGATGAGCGGGCAGCCGTTGCTGACCAATCAGGCGTCGCGCAAGTTCAGTTCGGAGACGTGCGTCGCGTCGTCTCAGGCCCCCCACTTGGGCCAAGGCAGTAGATTCAGCAGCGAGCTGAGTGTGAGCAATCGCGAATCGTTGCTGATGAATTACTCAGCGCGCAAGGAATCGCTGATTAATCAGCCGCTGTTCGAGCAGAGCGAAGACTCGCCTACGGACGCTGACCAGCACAAGCTTATGGTGCTGGACGAGTCCACTCAGCAGGACAGCAAGGACGTCCTGATTAATCATAAAGGGGAATCGGTGCTCGTAACGAGAAACGCTTTGCTGAGAGTTTGAGGAAATCGCTTGCTAGACGCTGCATGCAGAACTCATGTAGGTATTCCCGTAGGGTCTCAGCTTCTTCATAACGCATTTTTCATACCATTCAGAGTTGATGCTTTTACTCGCAAGTAGAGCTTCTATCGAAAAAAATTATTAATAAACCAAAACTGAAACGAAAACAAGCGCCGTCGAAAGGCATCAATGGTGCAAAGCCACTTGCCCCAACCGACTGGCATCACAAAGCTGATTCGGTTGCCATGGATATAGCTGTCGCTATTGGTGGAGGCAAGCAACGCCCATAAACTACCGGGGTGGGGAAATCTAGAAACACCCTTTGCACCATTGGTTCACTTTCATTAACTTCAATCAGGAATAAAGGGTGGGCTGTTTTAAGCGCTAAGAATGAGCAAAAAATGTCTGTTTTAGGCTGTATAGCCAGCCGACCAATATGTATAACAAAAGGGAGTCGTGCACATCGGATGCAACAACAACCACTCTAGTCACTGTAAACGGAGGCACGCAGGGGCGGAGCCCCTACCTTCAGCCCCCCAAGCTCTGCTATGGAGGAAGTGTCTGAAAGTGAGTTTTACTTACAGTGAATTCGCACAGGTTTAAACTTAAAGGTTTACGTAAGTGTAAGTTTTTGTTTATATCGTTTATTCTAGATGGTGCCAAAATGTGTTTGCCTGTTGTTTTTCTGTGGCTGCTCTTACAGGGTGTTTATATGTTCGACTGATTTCCTTTTGAAACTTGGGATTGATAACATTGACACCCTGTATCGAAATCGTTTTGTTAATATTCAATATTTTCCTACAACAAAGTTCTCTTGTCTTCGGAGCACTTCACACTAAATGGCCTACGTAATTTTTCGATAAGCAAATAACTAAAAAGACAGTTTGATCTCTTGAGATTTGTATATACTTTCCTGACTGTGTTTCAATTCCAAATCAAATTTATTCCTGGGTTTCAGTCATTTATTGTCTATTTATTAATCAAAATACGTTTCGGTGTATTTTTCCACCATCATCAGTTTATATACAGATGATATATCAGAAAAATACACCGAAACGTTTCTTGAGATTGCCACCACTAACCCAAAATTAAGAAAGGCCTGTCCAACTGAATTATCCTTATGAACATCTTCCTCTAAAGCTAAATGTACAAATTCCTGCCCTGCGAGCCTCAAGAGATGAAGTAAATTCCTAAATTGTATATAACAAAAAATAAAACTATTCTGTACAGATAATCTGATCGATCCGCTTTTATACACATGTTTATTTATTTGTAGTTTATTGTATGGTTTTATTAGCACTTGGAGTAAACTGCATCCGAATTGTTGAGGTCGCGAACTTCTTAAACAACAAGTCGGATGTTGTCTATTCGCATAAAGAAAAAACAGAATTTACTTACATTTCAACTGCCTTATAATCGTTTTGAATTGATCGGCACATGTGACCGATTTGTACTTATTTTCCAGAAAATTTGTGTGAAACTGAATGTTTGTAATCGCCGTTACACATTTTGTGTGGCGAAAGGACCCATCGAATATTTTATATTAAAATATTTTTCATACAAGCTGGCTGTTTCATGAAAATGGAGGATGTTTCAATAAGGTTCAGACTTCCAAAGAAGCTACAAGTTGGTCCAAAAAATCGCAATAAAACGGTTATTGAATCATCCACAGGCAACACTTTAACAATCGCATACAAACGTTAGATCAACTCGGTCTAGCCCTGATAGTTACACTGTTGCTCACTACAACGTGAACCTTCCTAAGCCTGAGATATTTTAAACAAGAACAAGATCTATAAAAGACTTCAAATATATATTGTAATTAATGTTAAGCAGTTGTTTTTTTTTCCTTGCTTAAATGGGTTTGGTGGAGGAAAATGATGCTCCAAGTACATTGAAACCAACTTGTATTGTCAACAACAAAAATATACAAAGAGTACAAAATAGCGACCGCTCCTGCCTCAAAATCCCAGTCTTCCACTTCTTGGCTTCAGCCGGACTAGAGGACTGAAAAATGGTATTTGTCCCGTTGTTGGGCGGCCAAGTTGAGCAAACAAACGAAGTACTTCAAAGTGTCCGAGTTGATATAATAGTGCAACGTAATGCCTTCAGTTTGCTCCTCATCCAGACTTCCAGGACTTGACAGCGGGCTAATGCTGATCCCCGAATGCACTGAAACATCGTCGCGAGGATTCAACAGTCCCACGGTGCTTTTCACGTAATCAGCCACTCGGGCTCGCATTTCCGGGTCCATGTTAACAGCCAGCTCGTCTTCGGGCTTTTCCAGCGTTTTCTTAGCTGTTTTTGGCAAATATTTCAGGCTCAAAATCGTTGGGTCACTGTTATGAACCAAACTGGTTTCGCTCAAAGGAAGAACCTTGTCCACTTCATCGGTTTCCAGGTTCACCACCACAACTGTGTCAATCGCCAATATTAAAGCGACATGCGCTTGAACCGCCGTTTGACTAACACTGATTGCTTCGGTCACAAATAACATATGCGAATTGAAAAATTCTGCCAGTTTCCACGAGTATTTTAGTGTGGAATTATTGGACTGGTAGATGTGAAGGATTTGGGGATGATTCCTGGGGTCTGGAAGCGAGTTCCAGCCAGCACCCTGAAGCAGCCCTAAATCCAACTTCGAGTATAACAAGATTTTAGGGATCAGTAGATAATTTACCTTGTCCAGTGAGGGCGAGGAGTTCAGCCGCCCCACTCAGAGGCTTAGTGAAGACGCCGACTATTCCCAAGCCGACACCAGCCGCTAGGGACCTAGGGGAAGCTCCAGGGGCCATCATCGACTGCAGGGGATGGTGGGCAATGCCTCCTACTGCCCCTAGGAGACTGATTCCGAAGCTCGTCATGCCCTGAAGGATAAAAACCCGTTTGAAAACCCCTTCACTTTAATAGTAGTTTTCGATACAAGGGCGAAAAACACATTTTCGCCTTCGTATCGAACACTATTTTTTATTCGAATGAAAGATTACACGAATAATAAAATGCATCGATTTCATATTTAAAATTTTGTGGCAATGTCATTTTTTGAAATGTCATGTTTTGAAGTTTGTAATTAAGTTTAAGTACTTTTTGAACTTGAAACACCTGTGGTCTTGGAATGGTGTATGCATGTTGCATACTCTGCATGACATTTGCGCTTCTTAAAAAGATCGTGTTTTACGTGTGACAACATCGCAAAAGTAGATAAGTAGGGCATTAAAACGATTATGAGACTTAACTTGTAACAAAGGTATAATTTACAAATTGTAAGTAAACTTGAAAATAGGATCAATAGTTGTTGATAAACCTACGTAATTCCTTAAAAAAGCGTTTCGGTTATTTTTAAATAAAAATACTAAAAAATATATAA